TTTTTTTTGGTAACAACATGACTGAGCAGTTACAGGTCTTTTATTTTCTTTATTTTCTTCGAGAGAGTATTCCGGGGAACGGAAAAGTAAGGAGACAAATCACCAATACTCCGCCCTTCCTCCTCCGTCTTAAACTACGAGACACTGCAAAGATGCTTACAACTGGCATGCGCACCAGAAGTGAGTGACCTGTCTGGCTGCGAACAGTGACTGGTAAAAGTTCATGCCTCTAAAACTTTAATTCTCTTAAAGATTTGGGTGCAGTTAGTCAGCCGCCGTGGGCGGCTAGTGACTCCGCTTTTAGGCGGGTTTCTATTTTTCTTTGTGGAGGAAAAAATAAGATAAGACACAAAAGAAGAGTTTGTACTGGTCGTCTACTTCGTGGAAAAAACACATACACATAACTGCTAAATAAACACGATAAAAACTAGCATGAAATAAACTATTAGAGCATACCACATCAACAAAGAAACAAACGTTCGCTCACACATTCTTAGACAGGCCAGTTACATGGTCAAGGACATGCCGGTAATGTCGTAGTGGTGCGTTCTAGCTTCAGAGCTTGTTCAGAAGGTCTGCGTCGTGCAGAAATACTCAAAGGGCTTTCGTTGGTTTCTCGCTTTCCTGATTGATTTTCCATGGGTCATTGTAGTACGACCGCTGGCGTAGCCATTGTAGTCATTCTAGTGCCACCGTTAGCCTGGGGTAGCAGTCCTTCTGCAGTTGCGATAGACGTCCACATGCAGATCCGATGCTCATCCGGGTCGAGACGGGCGGGAGCGCGGATTGAACACAGGATTACTGGCATAGCCTTCTCTATACTGACAAAGCCTGGCAGATCGCCATGAGAAGCGGCCGCCGAAATCGAAAAAGCTAGAGTGGTAGACAACGGATGGGAGTAGAGCCACGTGACGGGCGCCCCGCTGCGGCGAGACGCCAAGATACACTTCTCCGGAACGATAGAATGTCCGCTCGTGCTCCTCGCGTTGCTCGCGCTACCGCTTTTCTCGTCGGGTTTGGAGGGACCTCGCCGCTGCAAAAGCTGTGCGCTGAGGTCCAGGTTCCCCGAGAAATGCTCTCTGCTACCAGAACCTCGCACTCCAAATCTGCGACCGGGCACTCTATGGCTCTGTCGTCGAACTGCCAGGCTTTACGAGTATAGAGGAGGCTACGTTACTGGGTTTTGCAGCGGAGCTTCCGCCGCACGCGCTTTGAGCTGCGGTGCATTAGCACACTCGGGCATCCGATCCCACCCCCCTCCTCTCTTCCATGACCATCAGCTTCGCTGACAAGCGTGCTTCTGGGCCTGCATGGCGTCGAGACTGCGAACAGCGGATTTGGCGCACTAAGCATTTATACTGTAAATCACATTTTCTCTAGAAATACAGACAAAATTACCTCTGCTGTAGGTATTCTTTTTTTTTTTTTCGTTCCCATGGCCGATTAGACGCATTTTGTGCAGAGTGAATGTCGATCTTTCCGAAACAAATTTAATAGCTGTCTGCTCATGAGGCATGTTTTATGCCGGTAAATGTGGAAGTATGTGACTAAATTTGTACCAGCATAAACATGAATAACCACGAACAATAGGCCCTTTTCAAAAGTACGCGCCATCTTGTGGTGTGTGCAACAATTATTTGAGTTCCCATTGTTTGGGCACACACACTGCGTCTGTACTGGACACGAGCGCTGCGTCAGCGTCTGGCGATGACTCGGATCAAATCACACGCTTAATCTACCCAAGAAATGGTCACCGCCAATGTTGTTTGATGGCATTTTTAAAAAAGGTCCTATTGATGGCCTCTCCTTTACTTCGGTCTTTTTTTTACTTTAAAGCTAAACCGACTAAACTGGACCCTAATCACGGTATTTTTACTTTACTAGTATTACTTAAACTAGTAAACTTATCAAAACGGCTTGATGCGAATCAACTGCTTCTAAATGTTAACAGAACACAATATATTGTTTTTCTTCAATTAAAAGACCAGTAAACCTTACTACTGAAATAGTATTTCAGTCACGGTCACTAGAAAGGGTTAACGAATACAAATTCTTAGGCATACATTTTCATGAAAACCTTCGCTGGACATGCCATGTAAATTTTGTGAAGCGCAACATTGCACATTCTATTGGTATGTTGAATAGATTTCGTGCCTCACTACCAATATGGCTAAAGCGTCAGCTCTACTTCACTACTGTTCATTCGCGACTACACTACTGTTTAATTGTCTGGGGGGGTTACATCTAAATGTAATATGACTAGTTTGTGCTTAATGCAGAAAAAAGGTATACGGTTTATTCAAAACCTATCAAGCCGCTATCGTACATCCCAGTACTTTGAACAACATCGTATACTGAATATTGAGGCACTGTATAATCAACGATTGTCTAAGGTTATATTCCCCCAAGCTAAAACTGACCGTGAACTATTCCTTTCTGCATATACGAATACTGATGCACACTGCAATTTCAGAAATATAAACTTTATAATCAGAACTAAAACAAATTACGGTACGCAATTACTATCTTGGCAGATTCCTAACCTTCGCAACCTCCCCCCAGGGCCCGTTTTCTCGAACGCGAACAGTGGTTTAAAGTTAACTATTGTCCCTAGAAGGGGAAATTCTAGGTCACGTGACTTGGAGAGCAGGGGCGCCGAGGGAGGAGCAGTACCTAGAAGCAAAATGGCCGTGGCGTCGCTCAACGAGGGCTAATAATTCTGCTTGGTTCTGCTGAACATTCATCTCGATCCGGCTGTTATATTAATGACGCACCATCAACCTATTAGCACGTCAAGCAAAGCGGTAGTTCAGAGGGACTACTAAACTAACCGACGGCAGCATTCCGCGAACGCATCACTCTTCAGCAGTCCGTGATCCAAGACATATGACGGTACATACGCCTTGCAAGTGTTTTTATGGTGAGTAAAAAAATATTTTGCAAACGAGTGTTGGTATATATTTATTCTAACACGTTTAATTTGTTACACTATGCATGCCAACTCGTGAGCAACGATTACTTTGCGGAGAAGGGGGTTATCCACGATAAAGTCTTCGTTCCTGGTGAACAGCTGGGACATTGTACTGTTTATTTTTTGTTCGCAGTGCGCCGACAGTATGCCAACAGCATCGAGGTTTCTACATATCTCCGGTGGCCAGCGATTGAACGGTGACGAGAAGCTTAGCTTCTCTTCACCGGTGGATCGGTTGGGCAAATGGAAGAGAGGGCAAACAGATCAGCAGGAATCGCAGAAACGTGCGTTGCAAGCAACGAAAACGAGACTATATACAGCACCGGCGTTGCCAACCTGGAAGGAACACGAGAAAGTTATGCGTTGTTTATGGCGAAACATATTGAAGGAAATGTTTTTTAGATTTTTGAATATTTGTCGAGAAACTATGGCATGGTAGCTAAAATTTCTTTGTACCATCGGAAGCAAATAAATTGGACTTCAAGTACAACATTACTGTATTTTGACTTAAAATACCATACTAGATCGATAACAGCCAGCGGAAAAAAAGGATAAACAAAATGACTGGCTTGTTTTACCGATAGATGGCGCATCTTATTGCCCAATCAAATATAATTATTGTTGTTCTATATCCAGCCGTTTATTACAATACCTAGGTACGTTTTCCTTCCTAGGCACCGTGGTTTACCAAAATGGGTTTACCATCGCTTCGAGAAAACCGGCCCTGGTATAATCAATGTAATTTTCAGAAAACAATCAAAAGCGTATATTCTACTTTCGCCATATTATTGTTGTCTTCTAAATTATGTGCACAGATGTAATTGTAGCCTAGGTCATATATTTGTGTCGTATATTGTTGCTTGTTTATTTTTTCATTCCAAGATCACATGCAGTGTAGCGATCTAGTTACTATTTGTTAACCATTTTGTTTTTAGCCTGAGACTGAGGCAGGAAAAGAGGAAAGTTTCAAAGTAGAAGAAAAATGAACAGCCGAGGACATGTTTCAAAGTAGAAGAAAAATGAACAGTCGAGGACGTGTCCTCGACTGTTCATTTTTCTTCTACTTTGAAACTTTCCTCTTTTCCTGCCTCAGTCGCGGGCTAAGAACAAAATGGTTAACATCCTCCAGCTCGCCTGCGCACTCACTACGTTACTGTTTGTGTATTTTAGTTTTTTGTTTATGGTTAACTGAAGTACAGTACCAGTCGTCTGCCTGCCGCATCTGCTGCAAGTGTAGTCTGGTGCTGCGGGCCTGGTCAGGTGACTCATTGTCACTTTTAGATGCGGAGCATCTCTTGCTCGGGTCTATGTCCCTCGGCGTCGTAGTCCGCACTCACACTACGCATGCGCACCTCTCCTCCTTCCCTCTCTCCAACAGCTGCGCGTTACTCTCTCCGCTCTCTCTCTCTACCAGCTGCATGCACTTCGCGTGCGTTCGCTTCTACTCACACCGCGCGCGCATGCGCAACTCTCCTCCTCTAGTCTACTCTCCTTCAAGTGTGAATATAAGCAGCGGAAGCGCGCGCAGCGAAGGGCACGCGACGCTGAGCGCAAACGCTTGAAGCGAGCGGCAGACCCTGAACTACGGCAACGAGAAGCGGCGTCCATTCGTCAACGTCGAGCGGCGGATGCTGAACTACGACAACGTGAAGCAGCGGCGGCTCGAGAACGTCGAGAAGCAGAACCTGAGGTTCGGGACCGTGAAGTTCAACGTAAACGTACGAAGCGAGCGGCGGAACCCGACCTTCGAGAACGGTAAGCCGCGTTGTTTCGTGAACGTCGAGCAGCAGAACCTGAGGTTCGGGACCGTGAAGTTCAACAACGTTACTAACACCGTTAATAACACCGTTAATATCGATCCGCGATGCTCTGTATCACCCCATGGTTCCCCTCGGGAAGATGGTGTAATTTTTTTTGGCCTCAGCACCATGACAATCCTATCTCGTCAAAAGTTCCAATAAACCAACAAACAAACAAACTTATGAGCACAGACCTTCATGGCCATATACTGCGTCCTTTGTGCACTCACCGAGGAAGTGGAAGATGGCGGCGCTGACGCAGGCTAGGAGTCCCACGGTGACAACGTCCCCGAGAGCAGCGGCGATCGAAATGGACACGTTGTCTGGGTTCACGCGGCAAAACTTGGACAACACCACCACGCTGACCATGATGCTGCCTGCGATCCAAACGGTAGTCACAGACAGCACGAAAAGGGCAGGGGGAGCTCGGCTTGTCCCGCCTTCAGTGCAGGCTCCCGACCGTCGATAACTAGGGCTTGGCGTCGAATAAAAATGTTGATCCGATTAATCGCCGCCCTTTAATCGATTATTTTTATCGAATGCTCGGTTCCGTTCATTTTCACGTGTAAAAGTTTTAATAAACTCAAAATTGCAATTTTGCTCTTCCTGAATATGGGATAGACGGCGCAGTGTACAATTTGGAATCTTAAGTCAACCTTGAAGTGTGTAGTTGAGGACAGCCAAGGTACCCACACTCACAAATTATTACTTCAGTCGCAGAAGCAAAAAGGTCCGTTTATGTACTCCGGCATTAGAGAACTCACTCGATTGTTTACAAACGTCTCTAGTGCGCTAAACGGACACTCGCACGGCGTTGGAAGGCTGGGACACGTATAACCTTCTTCACTTGTCTGAAGTTACAAAACTTGCCTGTACAGCTCACTTTAGGTAAATATTTTACCCAAGTTTTACCTGCAAACAGGTGTAATCGTCCACGTCTGCCTGGTGAAAGCGTTGAATATTCACTTTGTTTTGCTGTTTAAAATTTAACCGATTAACAGGTTAAATAGTGTATCGCGATTAAAGCAATAATTGATTAATGGGGACATTAATCGAAGGATGTGGTGAGTATAAAAAATGATAATTCGGGAAGTTTTGTCATGGACGGAATAGAGCATTTGATTATTTTTGACTAAGCCGATCGGATGTAAAGGATTGACTGAAAAAAAAGTGTCCATCAGCCTATTGACTAAATTATTTCAATCGCGGTAATCCACGCTTTAAATACGTTCTGCCACATTATCTTTCGTATAGCAACGTCATAGTGCAGACAGGAATATTTCCCAACTAATTAAGACTTGCGAGACTTTTCCCAATATATAAAGGTGGTGAAAAAAAAAATAGCTTGTACAGTTATAGACCAATACCGGTGCAGCCATTTTTTTCCAAAATATTTGAAAATGTAATCTCAGCTAGATAAGAGGTGTTTTCTGAAAAACATATAATATAATAAAAATGCACAATATGGTTTTCAAAAACATAAATTCTGAGAACAATTACTACTCCACATAAAAGATAAAATAATTTACAACATCGACAAGACGTTTCACACTAGGTTTATTTCTTGACTTTACGAAGGCCTTCGATACGATACAGCACAATACTTTATTGGTTAGAGTTGAATATTATGCTGTACACGGCGTTGCCTTAAAGCTTTTTGAACGTTATTTAAAGAATCGATTTCAATATCTGCACATGAACGAAGCCTCTGATATGCTAAAAATACAACACAGGGTACCACAAGTGTCAATTCTACGTCCTTTATTACTTCTAGTCTACGCTAATGACATAACAACCATACAATTCTCCACAAAATTAATCATGTACGGGAATGAAACTAATGCTTTAGGTACACTAGAAACAATGGGATATAGATAACTGGCTGGATTATCTAGCTTGTTAAGGCGCAACAAACTACAGCGTAATCTAAAGAAAAACTCAAAATATGATTTCGCGTCCAATTAACGAGCAAGGGTAATTTTTTAACTCTGACGGAGTGTATTTCGAACGGGTTAAGGAGCGAAAATTCGTTGGCATATGGTTTATGAAGAGTTTAACTGGTCGACGCATATGCACAAACTCTGCTCTGAATTATCAAAGCAATTGGCTGTATATATAGAATTCATAAGCTACTCGCAAGTTGGTTAAAAAAAGTACTACTTTATTATTCATGGTACCCAAGAATGTAATATGACGCACCATATTTGCTTGAGTAAGAGCCGCGCTGTTTGTGAACAAAACGTGTGTGTCTGCTTCCCGGTGGAGCACGGGGATAGCGAATCACCACGACCGGCAGAAAAATGGCAGCTATTTACGGGACAGAGGTAACGTCATCACGCAAAAATGCGATCTGCTCCGATCGCATTTTTACGGAGAATCGTATTCTCGACTTCGCTATTCGCTGCGTTTGTTTAAGCAGCACGCGATGAATGGTTGTGTGTGTGTTCTGCAGGCAAGTATACGTTCTTCATAAAAATTGCGGCTATTACACGAGCAAATACGGTTTTAGTGTAGGGTACACCAACCAAGACAAACTACAGCAAAATGATAGTCCTCCAGAAAAGAATTCTTCTCATGTTTGAAAACTTTCAGAGGAACCCGCGAGACTTACGCACATGCCCACACTTCAAGAAATATATTAAAGAAAAGCAAAATATATTACTTTAATTTTTCTCGCTGTTATAAAAGGAGAAGGTGCACCTAAACCCAAAGAGTCTGAGCTCAGATCGAAGGTTGAGGAAAAACACTCGAAAAACACACAAATAAAGAACCCATCACGCCAAGCAACAATTCGATCACCCTGTTTCTTTTTTGTTGAATAAAACTGAAGACCACATTAGCTTTTAATAGACCTCTCTTATATTCAAGAAACTTTCAGCCTTTCCACCCTGGTGAAGGAGAAAGAGCAGAGGAGCTGTAGCTTCTGTTCTCGGCGATGGCTTTCCAGGCGAGCGATCTGCTCTTCTTTCGCAAGGGAATCTGAAGCGCTCGACGCAGTGGAACTTTAGGCGATATCGGTTTCGCGGCGGTTGCGGAACCATTTGCGCTGCTGCGCACATCGCCGCTCGTTCACCTCCCGCTCTTCGTCCTCCGAAGAAAGGTTGCCGCCATCTATGAGCGACGGCGGCAACCAGTTGTCTGGTTGCCGCCGCCGCTCGTAGATAGCGGTAGCTGTCCAGAGTTCGGTGTCATCATCTCTAATCCGGTGGGCACCATCTTAGGGAAACTAGCCCTTAACAGCTCCGCTGTAAAAAAGACCTGAGAGTTCCTGGTGGCTAGTGATACCGTTCCTTGAATAACAAAGTAAATATTAAAGTGAGATAAAAAAAATATACGTATTATTTTTATTAGATGTGCTTTTTATTGTTTTAAAGAACTCTAATGTTGTACAAGATATTTATAATTTGAACTTTAATTTGACTTCGACGCTGCCCTGTTCCAACGCTGAACTGTAAGGGAAGGCGAAGCCCTCGTCAAGTTGCGACAGCAGCTTCCTCTACCTTCCTTACCCGCCCACCTCCCCTTCCCGCCTCCGTTTTTGGCGAAATGAATTGAAATGAAGTGAAATAAAGTTAAGCAGTATTACTGTGTCATCTGCAAAAATAAACTGTTTGTTTCTTAACTTTATCTGCGTCGTTTCGTTAACATTGAAATTGAAAAGTAATGGGCGAGTACTGAACGTCTAAACGGTAGAAGCGCACACGTAGAGAGAAGAAAGAAGATACAGGAAAGAACGCTACTCACAACTATATTAACTGAGATGAAGAGAAGGAAGAACATCGTAAAAATCTATCGCCCCCAATAAAGTGAACGATGAAAAAGAAAGATGAAAAATAAATAGAAGGGTGTTCCCTTGCGGATGCTTCAGACACCAGATCCTTTGTTGAAAACACCAGATCCGTTGTGGGCCGTCACGATTGGGTTGTGTGTATGTTTATACAGCCTAGAACTCGGTCTGCCTCAACGGGCGACGAGTCTCCCAGCTGTAGATGAGCAATTTAGCCAGTCCAGTACAACCGCTAGCCTGGGGTTTTTAAAGGGATACGGAATCGAAACTTGAAATATAGAGAAAACATCAAGAAATGAGTTCAATATGATCAGCTAAGCCTGTAATGAATAATCGCACGGTCGTATTTTGAGCAGATGGCTATATTTTTTGCTCCAAATGCCGCGATTTTGGCGAGCGCTTCAAAATCAGCCATGGAGGAGCGCGATGCATCTCGGGAGATCCGGCAGACGTCTTGACGTCATCATGCCTCGGACGACCAAGCGTACCGTAGTGACGAGTTTTGCCACTTGGAGGCGTCAACGCGTTACAATCTCGCTTTGTCGAAGTACCCAAGGGCTGTAGATATCGCGGGGCCAGCACGCGCACCAAACCTGAGAACAACCGAAGCACGCGTTTGCACGTCGCGCGATAGCTGAAACCAAGGTGGCTCACTTCGTTTTGGCTCTTTCCACCAAGACGCCTCGGTATTGCGTTCAGGCCTAGGCAATCTATACCAGTGAGCGGACATACCGCTGCGGCGCTGCTTTCAGAGGCATGTTGTCGTCACGACATTCCATTGAAGCTTCATAACCAACTACCAGGTGGTTTTTGATTATCGTTTAATTCACTTTAAAATATGTTTTCTTGCGTTTTCTAGCGCAATATTTATGTTTCTGTGGTTGTGCTGCTACCTGCGTCGTGTTGAAACAAAGAAATGAGCTCCAGAATTTGGTTTCCGTACCCCTTTAAGGTGCATCACGCAATAGTGATACACGACTGCACGCCGGTACGATGCTCATACAGATCGAAACGGGCAGGGGTGGGGGTCCTGCAGCGCGAGCTTTCACTCCACGTGCTCCGAGCTGATGTGCGCTCGCCCACTTGGCCACCGATCCACCCCTTGGCCGTTACCGTTCAGTTCATAATGCGTTTATTGCCCATAATAAAGGGGAAAAAGGAGAAGGAGGGCGTCGGTAACTACGCGGTCTCGACGCTGGCACGAATTAAAAGAGAAGGGATTAGATGAAGACGTTACCATCGTGCAGAGTGTTTTGCATCAATCTTGGCTCGTGCGGAGTCTTCATTGGTGGACGCTAAAGACCCCAGGCTAGCGGTTGTACCGCACTGGCTAAATTGCTCATCTACAGCTGAGACACCAGACGCCCACTGGGGCAGACTAACTTCCGGCTGCATAAACATACACACAAAATTTGCTTTTTGCTTGCCTGACGTCTCGCGGCAATCGTGGTTCATGCGGAGCCTTCATTGTCTGTGTTAAGAAGTCTACTTCGTTGTTTGTTAGTGCAACGGATTCAACACTAATGCATTCCCTATCTTCAGATAGGACGTGGTAAACTTCCAGCACCTCGCGGGTCAATTTGTCTTTGT